CAAACAAACAAACAAACAAACAAACACCTAGTAATTCAAAGCCAGCAGCCATCCAGGACCTCCCTGCGGCAGATCCTCCCTTGCCGAGCCCCTTTCGCCACCAGATGGCCCCATATGGACGCGGATGATAATTGTTTACCTGCGTCAAGCGCTTCGGGCGTTTCAATGTCTAATTTCCGAGGACGCTAGCTGCCAATAGGGAAACAAAACAAAACAGAACCAGCCCAAAAATCTAGCCTCATGAGGCCGGAGAGTTTGAACAATCCTGATTCAAGAACTTGTATTAGAATCCACGTCTCAAGTCGTGTTTGCCTGGTTCAGTATTTTTACCACAATAGGTAATGTATTCCTACAAGGGTTGATATTGAATTAATATTGAACGGACAGCACAAATGGGAACATAATAATATGTGGCCTTCCTGAGTTCACACTTTCAATCTGCGTGGCATTTGTAAAGTTACAGATTTGCACCCAGCTTTGGGTGCTCCAGGAGAGCTGGAGACCACCTGGAACTGCAGAGAACTCAAGGGAGAGCAGAACAGATGAACAGAAATGAAACATTACCAGYGTGCAAAGCCTGAAAGATTGGCTTTCTAAGCTGTTGGACAAAGAGCTTTGTTGGCCGGTTCCAGGCAACAGCTGGCATTGTGGGCAGGGTCTTGAGTTAAATGTTCCTAGCCAGAAGCTAGAAATCTGGTGCCAAGAGTCATTAAATGAGCTGTAACAAATCCTGGAAGAGTMTCTTGGAGACCCCTTCAGGTTCATTTTCTAAGATGTCTGATTCTGATTTCTGATTTCTTTTCAGGGGAATTAACATCTCCAAAGAAGCCGTAAGAAGGGTCCTAGCRATGTAAAGGAAGTGTTCTTGTAGTGGTGAGCAAAGGTGAGGTGTACATGGCTAGTGCTGAAACAGTGTGGAGCCATTTCCTTTTCACAGGCCTGATCCTGTGTTGCATCACTCGTTTTTGCTYTGCTGATTGATTTGGAATTTCAGTCTCAGTATAATGACTGAGATTTATGATCACTTGAGCTTTTTCTRTAAAAATATCTCTAACCCTAGAAGCAGCATTGTAACTGCCCCCTTGTTCAGAACTTGCAAGAGGAACTTCTGAAATTCTGGATATTTCTACCAGGTAAATTCTCTGCCTGTTTTGATTTTATTTGGTTTAGATTGATTGTCACCCAATTCCATAACTTTTGTTTTATACTAAAGCATGACCTAGTTTATAATTCTGGAAGGAAAACAAGAACTGCTGTGACAGAGAGAAATCATGGAGTGTTTATGTCTTTTTCTTTTCCTGTTTCTTTTTTTTTCCTACTTCTATGACAGACAAGCCAAAAAACCTGGTGAACATGGAGCTAGAAACTTTTGACTTATTAATACTCTGAACACAGAAATGGAATCACCTTCTTCTTGTGAGCAGTGAGCACTGCAGTTTGTCTGCAGTGACTTGCACAGGTGGTGTTTCCTCCTCTTCCCGTTAGTCAGAGACACTTCTTTGGAACAGCAAACACTTCAGTTTCATTGCTCACAGCTTTTATGCTGTTCACAYCTGTCCTGCTCTTTGAAGTTCTCTGAGCAAGAAACCACTAGTCACAGCTTACCTGTAAAGACTCACATTCAAAACTGTGAAAAATTAGGACTGTTTGCAGGTCAAATCATCATTTTTTAAGTGGAGGAAAYACCTTCTTCAGGGAACAGCTGATGACATGGGCTCCATTGCTGACATACACTGATCATCTGTTAGATCTGTTACACTTTTCTGGAGAAAGTATCATGACAGGTTCACAGATACCTATCCTGAAAGTGTGTGTGTGAGGATTTCCATGAAATGGAAAAGTCTCTCATTTTCTCACTGCTGATAGATAAATTTGTGGGAAAGATACACACCTGACTTTGCAAGATCTTTTGTTTCTCTTCTTTTTCCTCTTATTTGCATTTTTTTCTTCAAACTGTAGCACATATTAGTATTTGCTAATTCTTTCAATTCTTTAAAATTCCTGTGAGGCAGACTTATACTAATGTAACAGCACAGAGGCAACCAGCTTTGTATTTATTGCTGTCTAATAGTGTGTATGATTTGATAGAACAACTTTGAGGTGGGTTTGGTTTTTAAACAGATGTTATTGAGAAGGATGAACGAATGATTAATGCATTAACTTGCTACAGTTTATTAAGGTAATTGGAAATGAACATAGCAATGATTACATTGCAGGTATGTAACAATAAATCAGAAGATGAATTATGGCACTCCCCCCCTTTTGAAATCCTCCCCGGGGCCTGAGCCCTGAGCTTCACCACACTGCCTCCATCCTTGCTCCCAGCTGCAAGAATCCATTTACCTCCCAGGAACACGTAACCAAGAGTTAGCACACAAAAGAAAGACACTCTGCTTGGGGTTACTCTCTGGGCAAAAGCCARGAGGGAGCCCAGCTAAGCTCAGAGCTTTGTTCTGGACAGTGCACTTGTAGGGAAGACATACAGGAAACCTCTTTTCCAGGCCATGGAGAGACAGTCATGTTATAATCTTTATCATAAAATTTACAGGTGTTTTGCAATTCTTGTGGGCTCACTAGGGCTATGTCCTGAGCCTTCATCAACTTTTATTATATTACAATCTCAAAWTTTTTTTTTTCTGTTTTCCGACAGATTATTCTCTTTTCCAACCCATTATTCTCATTTTATTACTGCTGGTAATCCAGGATTTATACCATTCTTGTATGATGTTGTGTCCTAAATCTGCTGTTACATAGGCCCACATGCACACATATCCTCTGSAGCTTTGTTTTGTTCAGACTCACAGCAGCTAAACAGCATTACAGCAGCCAGTGATCGGAGAAAATGTACTACTTACAGTTCCCTGTAGGCAAATGTCAAATCTCAATGTCTGCTGTGAATAGTTACTGAGATTTTTCTGCTTTAATAGCTATCCTTCTGCTACTGAGTAGTCCTTATGATGAATGAATTATCCATCAGTTTTCTGTCACCACTGTAGGACCAATATGTGAATCTGTGTGAAAGTGGAAGTGAGAATAGAAAGCTGCTCACATGTAACAGCAAGAAACTGGAGSGGGGTGTTAACACTGAGCGCTGATAGCAAAGACACCTCTGTCAATATCATTTCTTCAGAGCTTTCCTGGGCTGGCTGAAGGTGCCAGAGTACTCATGTATTTTTAGATATACTTACASCTTCAGATATAGTTATAGCTCTGGAGGAATCTATAATGTAGAAGTGAGTTATGAAGCAAATCTTATTCCCCTCCATCTCTGCCTGATCTGTCAAAGACAGTAGAAGAAGAAGCATGTAGCTCCAATTCAGGAAAAAGAGAGACTGCATCCTTCTGAATAGCCTTAACTTTGATGGGAGTCATTTCAGCTTCCTCTGCCTAAGGAAAGCTAACAAYGAAAGGAAAAAAAGGAAAGCATACATGAACTACAGAGTTGCCAGRGTGGCATGAGCAATCCTGTATCAGGGGATAGTAGGGTTATGGGGACAGTAAATATGGTGGTGGTGAGGGTAGGATCCAGAAACATAGATCATTCTGCATAAAATCATAAGCTGTTTTCCTTTTCTAAGTTGTTTTACTGTTCTTGTTTGATCTTCTTGCTTTGGTCTTTCCTTGTGCCAAAGRTGCCCCATTTATGAAACAGCCAGGCAAGACCTGACAGATGTACCCAATGCTGTCCTGGCTTGTGTAAAATTTGCTGCCAAGGGGGCATGGAAAGAGCTTTTCTCTGGGCCTCTTCCTGTCCCTGTGGYCTGATCATTATCTCCAGCTGATGTCTGATGTATCACTGCACCTTCCTACCAGAGGAGATAATCCCTGCATCCCACTCCCTGTACTGGGAGGGCTCCTCAAAACCSTCATACTTTAATCCCACTGTGTCCATTTTCACAGTCTCCTTTTCCCTCTCCCTTGGCCATGCTGCTGGCAGCAAAGAATGTACAGATTGGTGGCTGCTGTGTGATTAACTTATTTCATCTGTCCTTTTCTTGTGATGAGAAGCTGAGAGCCGGCTTTGGGTCCAAGACTAGCCTGCCAGCRTTTATACATTTCCAGATATAGCTGAGAGGAACTAAGTGCATTTGAGAGATTTTCRAGTTAGCTCCTGAGTGACCAACCTWGAAGTGGTGCTAGTAGTTACAATTAGTTGCTAAAACTCATTACAATTAATATGGTCACAAATTAATTTTGAATGCAACTAGGCAACAGATTTTTTTAAAAATTGACAAATCTCATGCCTAATATAGTAGCAGTAATAGAGCCCTCAGGGATCTAAAACCAAAGTTACCTAGGAATATAAGAAGTTGCTAATGGTTTGAGTTCCTTCCGCCACCTTTCATTGTTCCTCTCACTATAATTCCACAATTGATTTGCATTCATTCTCCTGAGAGGTTAGAAAGCAACAGGTAGAATAAATGTATTACCTAAGGTTATCCAGCTCCACTTAAGTGCCATCCTCAGGTAAGTCCCAAAGGCTCATGGATTCCAACAGCACAAATGGAAAAGCCCAAATGGGACAAGCCCCATTGTCCCCACTGCATTGTTTGGCCTGTCCATTGACTGGGTTTTAAGTGCTTTTGGAAAATAAATAAGTCGCCTTTCCACTGAGATTTTCGATCCAGCACCACACAGTTATACAGTTTTTACAAGGTACCTCTAACTACTTCTCTGAAAAAAACCCAATGCATTTTTCAGACTTTCTGCTGAAATCAGACCACAAWGCTTACAAAAATTGCGGAAAGAGTTTGTAAACTCACCATGAATACCATATCTTCTCATCAGAAGATTTTTAAGAGCTGTAATGGAAACCTTGTCTGGATTGCTGACAACTGTGCTGTTTGAGGGATGAGGCTGATGGGCCATGATGAGAGCACTGCTGGAGGGRCAGATACCCTGGCATTAGGTTCTGTGTAAAGCAGCTTCAAGGATCTGRAATTATTTGTTCCTTTCCTACAGGATTCATGATTCTTGCAGACAGTGGTTTAATTCTCAAGCAGATTATTTATTGTTTCTTGTGTCTTTAATAATAAAAATAATTTACATTAAAATGGTGTTCTAAAATATTCATTGTGAAAAACAACATTCTTCATCCTTTCCATGTCCCTTACCAATGGACCAAAATCTGTCATTTATGAACAGTTTTCATTAAACAAATGTATGCCATTAAAGATCAACAGGAAGACAATCATTTTAATAGGTAAAGTTTTGCATGGTACAAGAGATCATGGCAGGGATTTTTTATAGGAGTGCTCAGGATGATAAACCATATCTACAAACTCCAGGATAATCTCAGCAGCAGTCACCAGCCCACCTATCAAGCACCTGTGAGCACAAGTTCAGCCCATTTTATACAAAGGAAATTGTTCTTTGTTTAACCTACATTAGTCATTCAGGGAAAAATAATCCTCATATTCCATAGTGTAGTTGAACAAAAAAAAATCCATTTGATACAACATTTTTATCTTTTCAATTTGTTCTGAGGTCAATTGTCTGAGGTACTCCAAGGTGATATCACCATTAGTTCGTTTCTCTGACCCATATCTCTTCAAGTTGGGGTACTGCAGGCTCTCTGGTGCTCCAATGACCTTCAGAACATGCTCAGAGTCCAACCCAAGAGTTTCATACTTACCCACAATATCATAGTGAATGCTGCAAGGATCACAGAGCAGAAACATTGGTTTCCAGTGAATGTCAAGAGTATGTGGTGGTTTTGCTATAATGAAGCTGACAAACTCCTGGAAACTCACTTTTTCAGAAGAATTTTTATTTTTCCTGAACATRGCCCTAATCTCATTAGCAACAGTGATACTGTAGAATGGCTCAGAGTGCAGGAGTTTGTCTCTGTAAGCTGAAACCAGCCGTTCCAAGGGATGTCTGGTGAATATCACTTTGGTGTAATTGCTTAGAAATTCCTTTTGTGAGGCAGGAGGGTAAGTCACCAGCCTTTTGATCAGTGAGGTGTGGTGGATGTCATCATGCTCAATTTCAGAAGGTTCTGCATTCAAGTCAGATTGAAGAAGAAAAATAGTTCTCTTCCAGTTGGAGCAGCCTACCTTGGGCACCTCACAGTAGATAAATTTATGCTTGTGCTCCACAAATAGTTGGTTTGCAACATGAGAATCCAATTTGTTTCTTGGTTTATTAAGGTTATTCTTCAGGCAGACAGAAGCCAGTGTGTTTTTCCGACCATTTTGAATTGCCAGCCAATTTTTGGGAAAAGCCTCTGTAACCAAGGAAGAAATTTAAGCCATTTCAGTGAACAGGCTTATATAAATCTCTTTATTTGTGACAATCATAGCACACAATCTATCCCGCTGCATACAAAAACTAATGAAGATGCTAAAATCAAATTTTTAGTGTCACCAGACTTGAGTATGGCAAACATGCAATAAACTACACAACATAGTGAAAAGATTATTAAAATGAAAACTTTCAACATGTTAGCAGTATTAGTCTAAGCAAGTTTGATGTTCCAAAATCATGTTTTTGTAGTGCTGTCCTCTCATATATTGCAAAGATAGCTACCACAGTGACAGTGCCTTTGATATTTTCACAGTATTGTTAATAATTTGAGCTCCATAGTTACTTTCTATCACATTTGGAAAAAATGTCTTTCATTCTATAAAGCATTACATTTTATTGKTGGTGATTTCTTTACTCACCTGTTAAGTTTTTTTGTCTCTTACAGAAAAATCCAAAAAGAAATACCCCAAATATAAAATTTGGAAGAAGGAAAACTAACACCTTCTGATTCATGTTATTCTCACAGGAAAGACGATGATGTGATCTCGAAAGTGGAAATCTGTCTTTCTGTCGACAAAGAAAGATAACTAAAGTTAGATTTTGTATGACTGATATAACAAAGATAATGTTCTTACAGAATTAACATTTTACAAATAACATTCTCTTACAGAATTTAGGATAGCAGAAAGACCTTTCAAGCCCTGAAAAAAATAGGCTTTGCTAACAAGTAAAAATTCTCTTATGGAAAAGACACACCACAGTCATTGCTAAACCAAACAGATAAATAATATGGCCATTTAGAAGTATTCCAAAATTTCTCCTTTTCTCAGAACAATGAACTGCTTATGAGCAAATACTTCTCCCTTCTCTTTTAAAGCTGTTGGGGAGCAATAATTTCATTTATGATTACCAAGTTGTGTTTTTTTATAACTTTTAGAATCTGGGAGTGCAAAGTTTTCTATCAGCTTTAACAGGTGTATCTGCAAACACCCTGAGACATTCAGGATGATTCACATTTCTTTCAATTTATTGCCCTGAAACTTTCCACTTCATACAAATAAATCACTGCAGGACAAGCTCCTCCCTATCCCTGCTGAGAATCCTAACCACTAACAATTCATGAATCACACAGAACCACTCAGAAAGAACTAGGCTGGAAGAGACCTTCAAGATCATCAAGTCCAGCCTATGGCCTAACRCCTCCTCATCAACTAAACCATGGCACTGAATGCCACATCCCATTCTCTCTTCTCTCTCTCCAAAGATATATATATGTTTGCTGCCATTGCTGCTGCACAAAGTGCCCCAAAATGGTTCTGTACAGGAAGTGTGCAGAAAGAGTAGAGAAAACAACAGAAAATGAGTTTTTCCATGTTCCCAGACAAAAGGAGAGAAGGCAAATGCAGTCCAACACATTTTCTCTCCTGTGCTCACTCAATCTGTYCCCTTAGACTTCATGGAGAGAGACCTATCTAAATCCTCTGTGTAATCTTAYTCAGCTTCCCCCAGCAGAGAGCTCTTCATCAGCATGCTTTTATTTGAAGTTGCAAAATTAAGTGCAAAACAATAACTACTGGCAAACATGACATTCTCTTTCTGTTCTGTAAAATCTGCAAATCAAAAAAGTCAAACAACATTGTCTTCCTTTTCCACATCTCAAGTTTTCACCCTGAATCCGCTAGCAATAAACATTGTTGCTTGGATTTCTTGAGGATGTAAATTCCTTTTTTTTTTTTTCAATGTTTCATATTTTCTTTTGTGTGTACAAGATATAATTGGACCACTTTGGAAGTTGTTTGTGAGCCACCCATTGTATGGATATACATAAACCCCAGCTGCCATAATGGAGATTGGTTTCTGGTGTGTTCTGAGACAGGAGTAGATGCAGCACCAGTTACATTGCTAAAATTACACTTGAGCACAAGGCTTCTTCCTTTCAGGGCTGACATTGTTTTGAAATCACACACTTTTACCAGAATATCTGCAGATTCATACAATCAACAGCATTACTGATAACTAAATCTTTCTTAGTGGAAGTATGACCTGGGGAATGGAGAGGGACATTGGTCAATGTCTCTGTATTCAAAATGTATGTAAAATAAAATGTTACAATAATTGTTCAAATTAATGCAGTATTCTTACATACAATGGCATTTAGCCAATACTTCTTCATTTTCTTGGCTGCACAAAATCATTGTAAAGGCTACAAAAAAAAGTTATGGGAAGATCTGCCTTTCACCTTTTCCTCACTATAAATCAGTTCTCACTTCACTGTGTGATCATAAGAAAACAGAGGCTGTTTTCAAGGCCAGCTAAAGTCAGTAAGGTTGTTCATTGATCTCATGAGGTCCAAGATTGAGAGTTACCTTTTTGTTCTTTTTAAGAAGCAGTTTGAAGACACATGRAGCTACCTTAAGGTGAAGTCCAAAGGCTTCTTCAGAAGGCGTTTTCAGATGGGAGACTCCAGTATGGAGTTCTGTGTAATGCAGAGTTTCCAGAGATGAAAATCAAGAGAAACCTGAGGAAAAGAAGGAAAGAAAATTCTGACTGCCATTTTGTCAAAGACAGACAAGTCACTTGGAAATTAACAAGGAGGGAAAAAAGCCAAAATGAAAAGCACCATTGTCAGTAGGTGTCACAGGTGTCAGTAAAGTAGATGAACTTTTCCTTATATTTGTTATGGCTTTTCCAGGTACTTGTAATTGTATTTGCTATTTAAGGTGTACGGAGCTAATACTTCTATTTGCATTTTACCTCATCCTACCTTGAATTAAGTATGATTTTAGGTAACTACAAGGCATTCCTCAGCCAAGGTGTGGTGAGCCTATTAACACAACAAGTCCATACTAAATAGACTAGTTCTACTGTAACCAAAGAGCACYAAAGAGTATTGGGTCTCTCAGCAAAGATGGAGACAGCATCATAAAACTCATTTTAAAAAAAAGAGCAGAAATCKCTTCTATTCAAAAGTAACAACGCAGGTAGGGAGGGGTCTGAATGTCTCACTGGAACTTGCATATATTCTCAGAAGAGAAAATACTAAAAACTAAATATAAGGCATTTAATCTCCTTTGCTCTTGTTGTACACAGTTTATTATACAACAATGGGGGTTGATTTTTTTTGCATTTTTAAAAAAATTTTCTATGAAGCATAAAATCTTTCAGATAACAGCCTTACACTGCACTATTGATGTTTCCTTGTTCTTTAGATCACATAATCATAGACCAACTATACATAGCTATGGCTTGATATTTTCAATATTTGCACGTCTTACTAGATTCTGCAGATTACATAAAAAAACATTCTATTACTCTTTTTTGGTCATTACTAAAGAGTAAACCAGGCAGCAAGAAGTATTATCCTCATAGAACCCTTTCTTGCACGAGTCTTTCAGATTGCTATCAGGTGATGAGATTTTTTTGATGTCTATCAGTTAATTAGCATTTAATTTCTTCAGTGTGTATCCAGCTTATTTGATGTCTTTCTAGCTTCTTAGCCAAAACATGCTTTCGTGTCAAGTCAAATGATTTGTGCAATTCTAAATTCACTGTATCAATGTTATTGCCTTAATCAAACAAAGACAAACCAAAATAGTAAGTCAGTCTGGTGACATCCATTTCCTATAACACAATCCAAAGTCCATATATGAGACAAGTAGAGCAATTATTCAAGCAAGAGGGGTAAGAAATGGGGAATAGATTACTGGAGAAAGCAATGCCAATCACCTCACGTGCATGCAAAATGGTGAAAAGGCTTGAAGCCCTCATAAAATTTGAAATACTTAGTGAATTCAAGACTTCTTTGCAATGCTGATAATTCTACTATGTCCCTCTACAATTCCATTTTAAAGATTCTTTTCTTTCCAAAATAAACACTGSATTTAACAAAACCAAAACCATTTTATCATGTTGTTCATATTTGTTCTCAAGTTTGCTGACCATAAAGTGTTCTTTCCATCCTTCTGTCTACTTCAAGAAATTTCTGACAATTTTCATCTTTGAATTACTTTCAACATCTCCCTTTTCTACATGTTGTACTGGTATGGAGGTGACTGGCAACTGCTTGCACATCTCCTGGATGGCAAGTGAGACTCTTTGACCCTCTCTCTCTGTATTCTTCTTCTCCAGGGGTCTCACTAAACCATCATATGCTGGAGTTATTGGATATTTTTTTTCTGTTAAATTGTTTTTTCTTGGTTCATTTGTCTCATAGTTGCTTTACATTTTGTGGTACTAGACCTTCTGCAACTTTCCCCRGTGTCTGTTAGTGGTCTGGWCTTTAACTGTTTGAGCATGTGTAGYTACACCACAACCACTCACTCTTATCCAACTACCAGCTTTGGATTTATAATGAGTTGCTTTCCCCATGACCAAAACAAGGTCTGATAGAAAATCTCTAGTTTACTCTTTCAGTTAGGAAATATTCAGTCAAAGATGTTTTAATGATAGTCATGTGAGTATGCAACCTAACACATTACATTCAGATTGAGTTTCTTCCTCCTGCCATGCAGATTTATTTCTAGAACAGGCATCAGTGGAGTAAGTTGCATTGCCTTGAAGAGGTATCACTGGTCCATTGTTCTGTCCTTGAATTGCTGAAACAAGGGTTCATAATACAGCATTCCCTAACYCTTCTCCTGCAACTTCTGAGCCTTTGCAATCCCAAAATTGTCAGTACTTAAAGAAATACTAAAAATAAAAACCTTATGAAATAATACTTTGATACTTTCATTAAAAAAAAAAAAAGAAGTATTATAGATGGAAATATTGAATAAAGTTAAGTCTTTTTGTGTGGTACCTATTACCCAAGTACAGAAACACATGTACACACATGTGTACATATATATATATACACACACATGAGTAGTTCTAGAGCACATTAATATCAGTTACACTGGCATGTTGTTTGCTCCAAATAAACTAACTAAGTAGACTGATAATGATTTAAAAATCTTCTGATAATAAACTTACAAAGGTGTGTCTCAAGCTAATTTTTCACAGACAGACCTTGATCAGAGCTGAGCAYGTGGGGCAATCCTCTGCACCCATCTGATAAGTGGAACTTTCCAGATTAAAAGAATGCAATTACAACAAAACTTTTTGTGTTCCTGATACATTTGAAGCCAGAAGCAAAAAAAGTACCAGTAGAGCAGCTTGGTGGAAGGTAGGGAAAATCTCTGAAAAAAGATAACATTCTCAGTTGCTGAAACCCATTCTGTATTTAAGCCCTGTTAATCCCTTCAAAAAGACAACTGCAAACACATACATACTGATACGTGCATGGGTACATAGAAAGTGAGGAGGGAATGACATGCAGAGAGCCCCCAAGAGCAGCTGGACAGGAAAACCAAGCTTTCATGCAGTTCTGTATGTGCTGCTCTCTCAGAGTGAACTGCAAGAGCAAGACCCTTGTTTAGCCAAATGTACAGCACCCTTGCTTCTGTATGGTTTGCAATGGTGGACAAGAGGGAGAAAGACCCCAGAAAGTGGAGCCTTAAAAGCCAGGCTGGCCTGTCCGTCAAGTGGAAAATCAGTAATGAATTAGGAAACTCAGACAAGGTACAGACAGCCAAGGGCTAGAAAAAGTATCTCATCTGGGTCATTTTGCYAACGAGAGACAGCATTTGACATCATCTCATTTGCAGCAAGGGTTGAATGATGTTGGGTGAGAACGGGTAGAAGCTCACTGGAGAGACAGCACATGGGCTGGGCTGGGAGCTGCTGAGTAAAAGGCTGACAAGTGTCCTACAGAATACCACACCTCAGAGCACTGAGGTGGGTACAACGTAACAATTTCCAGACAGGCACTATGTAAAACACTTTTTCTGTGCAGTGGCCAGCTCAGCCCTCCTTTACCACATCAGACTTCTTTCTGATCTCAGCAGCTATATGGATACCTTCCTCACTGCCATCATTTATCTCAATATTATTCTAATTACACCACTTCTTACGCCTGCCTTTTAGCTTTTCCCTCTCTACTAAATTCTATGTCATCTCTTTGTCTTACCTTCMGAAGATTTTTCTTTGTCTTTCATTTGCCATGCAGCTTTGCTTTCTGATYAGTCATACTGGTAGCCCCTGTCAGCATTAGCCCATGATAACAGAAAAATAGYTCCTGCTTTGTCTTCTGCTGCCCATGTTTTTGGATGAAGTTTATGAAGCACCTACAGAGCCATTACATTTTTCACCTGAAATCAYTCCTTGCTTTTCAGGGATGCCAATGTCAGTTATGATGACAGTGTGCTAAAATTATTACCAACCAGCCCACAAAACTGCAAGAAAAAGGGAAGAGCCAGTTTGGGGATGAAAAGAACCAAAGTGAAGAGAAAAAAAAAGAGGGCATGGGAAAAGGCAGTAGCAAGTCTGACAGAAAAGCTCCCAGAGAGAGGCAGGAAGCAGAAACCYGAGGAAAAGTAGTGGAACTGGGAGCTAAGGGAAATAAAGAAGCTCTGTAGCCTGCTCTAAAAAAGTTGTGGAAAAGGGAGGTTGAGAACTAGACTGAAAAAGAGACAAAGAATAATTCAGTGAAGACTGAGAAGAACAAATTCAAAGAAATTAGTATAGAAAGCAATGTGTTAATAATCTGATAAACTACCACAAAAATTTAAATGGGAATGAGATAATATGCACTGCAGTCACTCATATACTGGAACACAGCCCTTACTATGTGATCAAAATTGCCTCTCTTTTCCTTCCTGGAACTGTAGCCAGAAAGGTCATGGACTTCTGATTTTCTTAGTAGAGACAGGTTCAGTGAGGAGACCCGGCTCATGGCTGGGCCCAGCTTGGCCTGGACCCAGGAATGTGGAGACCAGTTCTGCTGCAGCACCACTGGGGCAGGGACTGGTGGCATCAGGAGGCTGACRTGGGGGCCAGGGCTGTGAGCAGCCCCAGGGGATTTAACAGTGCCCTGTTACTGCTTTTGGTGCCTCACATCTGGTAATGGGCTATGGGGCTTTGYTACCTAAACACTTAATTCAAAATTCCATGCACTTATCACTTGGTGTTTAAATCACTGCAAACCCAATCACAGAAGAGCAAACTTCACCACTTTCTTTCAGGGAATCTAGATAAGCCTAAAAAACTTGGAAAGGAAGAAAAAGGGGAGAAAAGGAAGTATGGAAGAAAAGTTTGGAACAATGCACAGCAGCCACAGTGGCAACGAATTATTTCCTCACCAGCTTGTYTCATGGGAGATGGTCCTCACAAAATCGCTCTCCTTTGTCATGTATATAACTCTCTGTCTTTGCATATGTTTTACTGTCCCCTCCCACATTTCTCTTCTCAGTTAATCTGAGTAACAGCAATATTTTCCTTACCATTCAGATCTACCCACCTTGACTCAGACCTSGAGCTTCTTTGTCCCCTCTTGCTTTTCACCTCCCTGTGCAGGCTTGATTCCCTCATTCCTGACATTGCATAACAAAGTCAAAACTGTTTGTAAAAGTCCCAGTTACTTAGCACATAGCCCCCAGGCAAACTCCTGGTTGCTGTTTACCTTTTTATATCCTTGTGTACCCTCCCTTATTGCCCCTCAACCAYAATTGATGACAGCTATGACCTCTCTTTCTCTCTTTACACTCCAGTGACCACAAAGTGTTTCTGCTTAAATTATTTTCCTTTTGCTCCTATTTCCTCTAGCTTCTCCTGTCATTCTAGTCTAGATTTTGAACCTCCTTTTCAGGATTCAAAATTATTTTTGTCCGAAACCATATCTCAACTCTCATTCTCCCCCGCTTTTTCTCTTTTATGCTCCTTCAAAGACTCCTTTACAGGAATCATGTGCAGATCCTAACACCAGCGATTTGGTGTCTGCTCTTTTACAGAAATAAGCTCTTTGCCTGAAACACCCTGACACTTACTGACAAACTGTGTGTATATACCTTTTTCCTCTCTTCCTACATGAATCTAGGCCTATTTTTCTTTTCCTTTTTGCTTGCCTCTCTGTTGCAGGGCAAGCTGTTCAGCAGAAATGTTGTGTTTAAAGTCTGTTTCTTTGAAACATATTTTTATAGCATACTATGGCACATGCAATATCAAAAATTAAGAAGTTTGGTGACAGTAGGATTAAAGTGATAAGCTAAATTATAAAGAGCAAAAAATGAAGTGTCTGCTAGTTTTTGGCAGACCAGTCTTGAAACTAAAGACTTGACATTTCAGAGCATTTGGTGTTGCAATACAAATTAAGTTCAAAATAGTCTTGTGGATTCAGCTGCAGATGCAAAGGCTTGAAAGATCTGYAAATCTGGTTTCCAGTGCCTGCTCAAATACCCAGAAAATGGAGAGTGACAGTCAACAAGTCTCTGAAAATGTGGGCACCCCACACCACATGGGATTATCATATCAGACAAAGAACAAAAACTCTCATCCTAAAACCTCATTCCTGGTTCACTCCATACCTTCTTCCACCTGCTGTAGATAGTGGCGATCCTACGGAACAGCCCTTGAGCATCTCAARATGTTCATCCTGTGAACTAAACATGTCAATTTGTGTGGAGTATATTGTTTCTTTAAAAAAACAGGTGTTGAAAAGCTAGTGAAAAATGTATTCATGTGGCATCACAACAACATACACAAAAATCATTGTCAGAGGTGAATCAAGTCTCCTCTGACCACTCTTATGATACTCATCCTAATGGAATAACCAATAGTGACAGCAGGTTGCTGTCTTTTGAACAAACCCAACATCAACAGTGACAAGTCAAAACTCATCARTCTTGCCTGTTGGAAGCAACAAAACAGTGAGACTTGGCCATGTGGGATGYCATTCCTGGCAGTGAAGGAAAATGGTCCACAGCACCTTGTCCCTGCTTCCCCTGCTTCCACCATTAGCATGGCCTGCCCAGAGTCTTCCTCTCCTGGTTCCGCCACCTCTTTGCACTCCGCCTTCCAGCAGCACTCCCAGCACTCCTATTCAATGCATATTTTCATGGGCACCAGAGCTTTTCCCTTAGCCCCCACCCCAGGCATGACCCCCTTCTTTCCCAGTCCCTTYTACCCCTCAGGCAAAATTTTAACCCAATCTCTAGCAAATTCTCACCTCCAAGAGCCTTCCTCATATCGTCCCCAGGCAGCTTGCCCAGCAAATCCTGTTTTCCAGCTTCCCAAACACCCATCAGATCTCACCCTGATTCTGCTGCTCAGTCTTTCTCATGTACAAGCCAGCTCTTTGCTGGCTCCCCCTGCCAGACTCCTCCCTTCRTCTCCTCAGTCAGCTTCACAGCCCCCCCTCCAACAACCACACTTCCGAGCCCAGCTCATCAGAACTGTCTCTCCTTCTACTTCCAAGATTCCCACGCAGCCCCACTGCTTCTCACTCTCAGTTCTGTACTCAGCTTGTCTCAGGCTCTACACTTCAGCTTCTGTAGTTATTCTGGTATGTCCCAAACTAAACTGACACATTTTCCTTCTCTTTCCCTCCCACATCAATTTTCACACTAGTCATCAAGGCACAATTTTTTCCTGCTGATTTTGTTCTTTGAATTTATTTTGCCAGCATATCCCCAACAATTTCTCCCTAGAAGTCTTGCTCATGCTTGCCTTGTAATTTAAAATGGGTGGTTTACTCCCCTGTGCAACCTCAGTCCAGAAGATGTTCCACTAAGAATGTACCAGAGGAACCTCTTAACCTCATTTTTCAAATGCTTATGTATTTTCAAAGTCTGCAATGTACCTAAACTTCTTATAGGAAAGGTCACTGGAATCAYTTAGGATGAGAAAAAAAGACCACAGATTCTCTGCATAAAAATCAATAAACTATTTTKGCTCAAAGGATTTTTAAAAGTATCCTGAGGCAGATACCTAACTGGAAAAATTTCTGCTGAAAGGCTTAAAATTTGACAAAATCCTATGTAGCTGCAAGCTGCATTGAAATTAGAAGAGTCAAGATGCATAACACCCTTAACAAAGCCAGAAAGTGAGTGAAAGCTTTTATCATTTCATTTCAGGCACCAGAATCCCTATAACATCAACTTCTTAAATAAGGAAAGCAATGAATAATAGGCTGCCAAAAAATCCTCTGTAAATTCATTTAATAATAGTATGATTCCAAAGGCTAAACATTATCTCTGTCTATTCTTTGAAATATTTGATGTCCATTTCTAAATGCAYAAACAAAWAAAAAACACAACCAACTCTGAAAAATAATCTCYCTTTGCAGAGATTTGCCTACACTTACAAAATCATGGTAACATGAAAACCACTAATAATCCAATTTTAGTCACCAATCTGACAGCCTCAGTGGAGAYTTCCCATGCCTCTGAGTTATAGCAAATAGACAACAAGATTCAGATAAAGATCAGTCCAGAGAAAAACATMATTTTAATTTTATGCCTAGGTATGCAAAGGAAATAGGGGAAAGATTTTGTCTTCTCCTTACCTGCACTTCAAGGCTGGGCAAGTGTTCTGTATCCACGCAGATGCTTTCACAAGAGAGAATTTGAAACGCTCTGTACACATACTATTTGTCTCAGTTTTGATTAAATGCCCAGCTAAAAGTTGCCAGTGTTTCCCTGTGAGTTTTTAGGTGAGCATCTCCAGTTGCACATTACAAAGCAATGTGCTGTGTCTGTCTCTAGGTATAACAAGCACATTTAACCACTCCCTGCGTAGGGTCTACAGCAGCTATTAAAGCCTGCCAAGTGCTTCAAGAGCAGCCTGCCAAGAGGCTGCCTGCTAAGCAACCAAGAAAGGGGGTGGTCAGGAATATGAGGGCAAAGGTAATTTGGTTGAGAGTAACTGTGTTGTGATAATATGCATTATTTTAGGTGAAGAACAAGACGCAAGATCATTTCAAACCCAATGGATTCTATATAAGACTCCAATAAACCCTGGGAACTGGAAGGTAAGTTCTCATGGGAAACATGGCTAAAGCAGAAGGAATTCAGTAGAGTTGGCACTTCCTTAAAGAAATTATGTTTAGGGTACAAACACAAAAAATCCTACACAGTAGGAGGATAGGAAGTATAATCAGAGATCAACTTGGCTACTTGGCTAAGCAGCACGGTCTTCAATGACCTGAAACACAAGAAGGAAATGTACAGAAAGTGAGAACCAGGTCAAACTCCTAAGGACAAGTATGAAAGCATAGCATTATGCTGAAACAAAGTAATAAAGAATAAAGAACAAATTTAACTGCAAAAAAACAATGGATATAAGAGATAGCAAGAAAAAAGATTGGGAAGGAAAAGAAAAAGCTTGTGATAGTTCACTTTGGAAGGCTGATGTACACTTTCGATCATTCTTCATAAAAGGATGTATTGTAATTACATGGGTAATAACTAAACTCAGTAAGAAAGAATCTGTCTAAAATAGGAATAGAACAGGACTGAAAATAATTTGAAAATACTGCATTTCACTTCATCCTCAAGTATACCACTACAGCATGTCCCCGGGAGAGCTCTCTAGTGATTGTTGAAGCACTAAGAGTGCCTGGACTGGAGAACTGTACGAGATAGGAACTTACACCTCACACAGATGCAGGTGGCTACTTCATAGGCCGCTAAAGAGGTGAAATGAGTGCTATACATAGTGATACCCGAGCCTAAGGAAGTGAATGTTAACACACCTTGGGAATGGAGAGAAACAAGCTCAGATCTGTTAGCTTCATCTGTAAACTTTCAGAAGTTGTGTGAGAAATATGTGAAGTGGTGAACACAATGCTCACCTTTAAAAAGTCAAGAAATTAAGCAGAGATCAATTCTGGAAAAATGCTAGAATAAATGAAAATAGAAATTATTCATAAATGGTTGGAGATAGTTAAGGTATATTAACTGCCAATATTTTTTCTCATGTTGTTTATAAATCTCTGTAACATGAGACAAGTCTTACAACAAGTCTTACAAATGGACAAGAAGTCAATCACATAATATGTTTTAATTTTAATAATGTTATTTGCATTATAGCATTGACTCATAACACTTTCAAAAKTATATTAAAGTGAAACTATTTCTGGAAGGCTGAAAAACTACCTGGGTGGGRGAAACAAACAAGGAAAACAAAACCAAGTCAACAAAATCAACACCAAAACCAGAGACTAAGACTAGGTTTTAATCATTCACTACCAAACTCAAAAGACATATTCAGTGAGATTCTAGCTGGGCCTGTTCTGGGCTGAGTTTTGGCCCAGATCACTAATGATTTGTATAAAGGACCAACCCTTCAACCTTGCAGATGACAATAAGCCCATGTGAGCAGTAAACTCATTGCATAACACATTAAACTCAGAATGCTTTTGACAAAAAAGATAAATTATCTTAGGGGATAAAATATTGCARTGCACTTGTTTACAAGTATGAGGTCCTAAGAGGGAATAATAGTTCATAAAAACATGGCGCCATTCTGCCAAAATAGGGATAAGAGGGGTCGGAGTCAGTCACAAACTATCCACAAATAAGTACTGTTATATCATATCAAGAAAGCAAACTGCATATTATGAAGAGAAAYTGCTTTGATTGTACATTTGCTAGATACATTAAGGAATACCTCCAATTATATTTCTGTCTAGCACAGCAACCAGTTCACTGTGTCCTGTTCAAGCAAAACTGTTCCAAGAGAAGGCAGACCAGTTGGAAAGATTCCAGAGAAAAGCAGAGAAAATGGCCTGCTGTCTGGGGAAAAYAGAAAAGCCACAAGCAAGAAAGACTGAAAGAATCGGGGTTACTCAGTTGAAAGAACAGAGGGACAACTGAACACATGAAAACCATCRCCTACATAAGTTACCTCTAGGGAGGTAAGGAGAGATTACATTTTTTATCTGTGATGAGTTCAAACTATGACACTGAAGGTTATGCTATATATTAAGAAAATCTTATAAACAGTAAAGACAATTAGATACTTTTAATTTTCTGAGGTACAGCTGATTCTCTTTTGGAGCTTCAGAATCACAAGATGAAGCCTTGAGGTCTTTTCCACTCTCCTTTTCTTTAAGTCTATGGTACACACTGTTTAGAAGCCCCATTTTACCTCTCTAGAAAAACTATATTTAGCAAAGTTTTCATGTTAATTATAAACCCAGCCTGTTACTTCAATACAGCAATTCTGCACCAATGAAGCCACTATGGGGCTTAACACACCCCAGATTGGTATAATGTCACTTTTCTACTGTAAATCCCATTAGCTCTCATAAGAAATGTGAAGAGTTTTGGCAAAAGGACTGCTGTCTTCCAGAGAGTAATGTATCTGGTATTTGATGGTTKTATACTGCTATTTCAAGTGCCAGAAGAGTGTTCTTTCCTCAGGATTCCAATGGATTCTGCTAGAGAAATCTTATCTGCTGAAGCCTGACCCTCTGGTGAACTGCTCCACAAACTGCTGGTAAGACACAGAGCTCATTTGCTTCAGGGGGTGCTTATTATAATGAGAGATGAAAGACACTGAACTGAGTGAAATGAGATGTGGCCAGAAAATATGGAGAGATATTTTGTTAGAGGGCTGCAGAATYAGGTTGTTTCATCTAAGATCTTTTTCATGTGCTCATTCTTTATATTAATCAAACTTCAAGATCACATGAGTTTAATAAAGTATTCTCACATGGCAGAAAAGATTAAATTCCTTTCACCTGCCTTCCACCAAAGATCCAATTCCATCAATATACAGATTTTCTTGGCCAAATAACTGTATCATATGGATGACCAGCTCAAAGAAAATCTCATAGAGCGATGTTTGTTGTRCTAGAGCAAGTGTTGTACTAGTTCCAAGGACATGTGACTCCATTGCCAGCAAATACCAGTGTTGGTCATTACCTCTATTGCCTCTGCAATTCACTTATGTAGAAGTGTTTAGGTGATTTTGTACAGAAAAAAAATCCCCTTAAAGCAGTTTTAATCTTGCAGAAAAATTACATGTTTTCATTTTCTATAAACTATTTGAACCAGGAAAAATCCATTTGATACTCCTTCCTGGCCTCATGCATTTCTATTGAACACGGCATTTGTCCAAAATAKACAATCTGTTTCTGTGAAACTGTAATCTGTTTCTGTGAAACACAATTTTCAAACTCAGAGTAATGTCCAGCATAACGTGATATTTGKGCTTACCTTATACAGAATACTGGAGGAGTCACACAACATATATTTTTTTCATAAATTCACTAGCCTGTGATTTTTCTCTGGATAAACTTTTCAACTTCTGCCRAAGTAAACTTCTGGTGCAGGCTAGGTGCTTCACCTCAAATAAGGCTGAGAAAAGAACAAATAAATGGAATCATATGCATTTATACCATTTGAGTTTTAAAACTTCATAAAAACAGGGGAAACTTTACAACTAAAATAGCTGTATCCCTGTTTGGGCAACTATAACCACATCCATCTAAATCCACAAGGCRACACCAGCAACTGAATCCCAAAGGAAAATACTGATTGTGCTTCTGAGCCCATTTTCCATTGAAATCAGGATGTAATAAAAGGTTTAATAAACTTGATAAATAGAGTCCCAAGGGCCAGGTTCCAGTATATGAAGCAATGGCTATCATGAGGGAAAAGTCCTGTTCCCTSACAGATAAAAGATGTAAATGACATTTTTGGCTGTTAGATAGATATTTTTTGACAATATGGAGTTGTTTTATAATACYAGTGATCTTATAAGACTTCAAAGATTTAAACCATGTTAATTAGTAGCAACACCGTCTAAAACTAAGTAATAAGTAAGATAAATCTCAGTTTTCTCACAGCTTCTACTCTTCCAGAAAGAAAAGAAGCAATAGCACCATCTGGATTTTGGAGAACTTTTGTAGCCTTAGAAAAGCAGTTCTGCATGAAGCCTTGCAATGAAACTATCTGGAAAGGTCATCGCTTTTTAAATCATTGACTCTTCACTGCATTTTCTTCCCCCTCAGATCCTCTTTCATCCTGAATACACTAATACAAATAAAACATGGCTTTTAATRGCCATTTTAATAGTTACTTAAGAAACAGGACATGGTATTATGTTGTGTAACCATTGTATGGSTTGTACAAATGTGGCTAAGCATGCCTATGCCCAGCTGTGAGCCACGTCTCACCCTCCATGGGAGAACAGAATGAGGAATGTTTGTATGAATGAGGAAGGAAAATGGCAGAAACACTATATAGTTACCATTCAGTAGCACTTTCAGAGCTATCTCTTGCATTGTCCACACAGCCATGACTAAATGTATAAAGCGTGTCTCTGATATACATTTACGTGCTTACTCAAAAAATTTGCCAACACTGCTCACAAGAATTTCTAACTAGTGAACCATTCTTAGTATTTGTGAAGCCCAAAGGGGAAAAAATCGCCCCAAGGTGATCCTTCATTTCAGTTTTCTTTGTTTCAAAATTAGAACTCTTAGTATCATTCAAAAGGTTAAAATTCAAAAAATATTTAAGCAGAGTGTAAAATAGGAAAAATAGAATAAGCTACTAATTAGTTTGTATTGTCAATTGGCAATTCCCATTCAAATGCTGCAAGAGCTGAGRAACAAAAAGTAGTTTACTGCTTCCTAAGTAGTGTACTAGATCTCATCCTACAGGTAAAAGGGCTCAGAAGTTTAGGATTTTGATTGTGGGAAGATTTCCCATGCAGCTTCAGGTT